ACACACACACACACACACACACACACACACACACAGTCACTCATCTGCTCTCTTCGTACTGAAGCATTCCTGCATGCAAGTGCAAAGAAGGTGTTCACACATAAAATGCCTGAGAGGTTGAATGTGTGCTTTAATTCGTGTTAATTAGTAGCTTTGCCAGGTAAACAGCACAGTAATGGCCTCCAGGTTTGCTTGTAGATCAGTCTCGAACAGGCGCAGGTGGCACTACTGGGGGATAGAGGTCTTTACTGACACCTCTAACCAAAGCAGACGTGGGCTGTACCTGTGCAGTGTGTGTGTTTGTGTTACAACGTGCAGCTGCTGGGCCGAGCGCCGCAGTGACGGCTGCTGTGCTCACAGCTGCATCCCAAACCTCAATCCAAGCCCTCCGTAAATCACAGCCCTGCCCTGATTAGAGAAAGGCTGTGTTAACACATATGGACACAAGAGGCTGACAAGAAAGGACTTAAATAAACAGGCAGCTGGCGAAAGGCTGCACCATTTTCACAACATTTATACACGCTCCTTTTTATCTGCATCTGGGTGTATTTGCATATGTGCAACATTAGTAAAAACAGAACAGCACCCAGCTCCAGGCAGGCAAATAGTCTTACACAAGTCAGCCTTAATGAGAGGATGGATGCTCAAGTGCAAAAAGAAAAAAGGAGAGGAAGTCACAGAATGAGAATTCTCTGTTCTCAGCACCACTGATCTGTGGCCATTCATCACCTGGCTGCAGAGTATTCCCACATGGGGACACATTTGTCCGGACTCTCTCCTCACAAATCTAAGCGCTACACTCTTCGTGTGTGTCTCTGTGTTTGCAAATGGGTTCGTCTGTGCTGAAGAAGGTCTTTGCCTCAAAGGGATGCAAGTCCAATGAAAGAAAAGTTTGTCTTCGAGCACGTGCCTTACACACACACACACATGCACACATATGTACTAGATCTTGAAAAAGAGGGATATGGGGAGGTCAGACGGGGCAAAGCTATCTGTAAATCTATCTGCTGTGTCAAGATCAATTTTCTCCTAAGAGACTTCGAGTCCCATAATTCTTTGGCATTTCCTGGTCAGTTTCCTTCCGACACTTGCAGTTAAGGACCTGGGGACAGCACCCTATCCTGATATGTGTCAGTGGGTCAGTCGACAGACAGCTCGTGTGTGTGTGATGTTAAAGAACACAACCTCCAGAGAGCTCATTTTGCAAAATGAACCACAGTAATGCAGGAACTACTTACCTTACGACCTCCCTAGCATAATAAATGACAAGGTGTGTCTATAGCACTGCAGTTAGATCCAATATTTACATGCACATGCACATGCATTTTTAAAGACTTTAAGTAAAGACTAGTTGCATGCACGAAAAAGAAGAAAGCATGCATGTGGAATGCATGCTCGTCATCAGCTTTCCCTCACTTTTCTTCTTCACTTGCACCCCTTTGTTCTTGCCCTGGGCCTACAGACCACACCGTTGCAATTAGAGCTCATCGCATCATCAGGTGTACTGTAACTGCTAGTTACCCAACGGGAAAACATGACGAATCCAATGGCGATTAACAGATAATAGGCTTTCCTTGAAATTCCTCCAATGGAATTGCCCCCCCCCGAACCTCTTTCCCGTTTACGAGGCACAAACAAACATAGATTCGCACTTACATGCACAAGCAGCCACTGCATCTGTTGACTTTTAAATGCACCATCTTTCCCAGAAGCCCCTGTGACTCAGGAGATCGTATATATGGACTCCCTGCTGTTAGCTCATTACTATTAACATTCATGTTAGATCAGTCACTGATGTGGTCTGACTAGACCTTAATGATCCACATACTTCTCTCAGTCCCGTGTCATACTGCGAGTAGGATGGGAAATAGGTGAATGTGTGTAGGTACACGCGTGTTCTGGGATTTATCTCCGTTTCACCGCAAGATGTCAGCCAGAAAAGTCTGCTAGTGATTCACCGGTGATACAAACATACGTGTGCGACTCGGGCTGCAACATGACTGTTGAGGGAACAGCTCTGCGTATGTGTTTACGTGCCTGGAATCACAGCTTCTGCTTGAGTGACTTTTTGATGACTAAATGCAATAAGTGTGGTTAGAGGCGTGGAACTACCAGCAATTATTAACATCTATCTGTTCCTAGTTTTAAAACTCTAAACTCTTCCCATGAGGTATCTTTAATGTAAACGATCATGATCTGCAGCAGGTTTGAATTTGTAGCCCTGCTTTGAGTAGCAATGCCAGAATCTGTTGTAAAATGTGACCAAAAGGCAAAACAAATATCTTTGTAGTTAAATATGGTGGATTTACCTGCTGTTTGAGCTGGTGCATGAGCCTGTCCTTCTCCCTCTTCAGAGCCATCACTTCCTCCTGGGCTTTCTTGCGTTTGGAGGAGGATAATTCTAGCAGGGCGATGTTGGCATCCTTTTCACTGATGGCTGCAAGCAAAGCCTGCTGCCTGACAGGGCGAGAAAAAGAAAGGACCGTACTGACTGATGGGTAAAGTGTTAACAGCAAGTCACGTCACGTTTTTAATATTTAGAAAGCAGACAGGTGTCGACTACAGAAAGCCCTACCGCAGCTGTATAGAGATGTCACAGGAAGCTCACTAATTCCAGCGCTCCCTAAACTCAGACAGCGATTCCACAGAAAAGAAGCAGACATCTTTGAAGTGGTCTGCTAAGTGTAGTATTTGTGGTACCTTACTATGACTCATGAGCATGTAATAGTGTAATAGGACCTAATGGAGCAGACTGAGCAGGATATGACATCTTTCTTATGTCACCCCTGGTTCCCACAGTGTCTGTGTGTGTTTGTGACTGTGTACAGAGGGGGTGGCTTCAAATGACTGTCCACAGGTGCAGGGGGGCAAGGAGGACATACCACCAAACTTCATCATGCACACAACCAGATGTACTAATTTAATCCCACAGAGCTCGATCTTGCATAAAGTCTGTGTGTTTGGGGAAGATCAGTGATGACTGTCTTCATCACAGTCATCAGCAGGATGTGTTTGATCTAAATTTGTGACTAAATTTGGTAAGCATATACATTCTCACAGTTAGCCGGGCATGGACAAACCTCTGCTTTGGCTCTTTATGTTGTTTTCTTTGACAAAAATAAAAGATAAATGGCAAAAAGAAGCTCTAAACACACTTTCCTACAAAATACACTTCAGCTCATTTTATGATTTTCTTTTGTCTTCATCTTTTGAGAAGTTTGTCTGAATGATCATCACACCAAACTAGTTCACCGGTTCATACCTTCAGTGCAGACACTTAGGTTATTCTAAGCTGAATAGTCCAGACTGTTAAAGGGCATTTGAAATTAAGAGGGTATTAAACAAGCATGTCGAGGTCATCTGTGGGTTTGTGTGAGGTGAAAGGTAGAGGAAGAGAAAGGAGGGTGCGTTAAAAATACACTTCGGTCTTTATTAAAAATTGACCTGCATTAGGGTGTTTTTATTCCATGATTTAAGTCCCTGCAGAAATAACTAAATTACGAAAAATAAACATGCTGAACTCAGAATAAAGTCCTGCTGGCCTGGGACTCCACATTTGATGTTTTTAGTACAATTATCTGCATGCCGCATCTGGATTCTCCCATTCAGGGCCATTAATAGCTCTTTGTGTATTGGTGTGTACTTGCATCTTGCGCATGTGTTTGCGTGTGCATGCATGTGGGTTCTGACATGGATTGGAGCAGCTAATCACACCATTAATCACGGCGCAGGACCAAAGTGACACTTTTCGTCTCCCCACACCTCCAGTGTTTTTCCTTTTAATGCTCACTGTAATGGGAACGAACACACACACACACACACACACACACACACACACACACACACACACACACACACACACACACACACGACTTGTAACAGAGCACGTGTCTTAGACTGCAGGCTTATTTTTCTTGAGCTGGCCATTCTTAGTCTAAATCAGCTAAAGAATTAAATGAATAAATAAAGTCCGTATAGATCCACATCCTGTTTATAAAATCCATCCTCATACAGTTCACCATTACAAAGCTCAACAAACCTGATGAATTCTGGATTTTAAAGAATGGCACAACAGCAGTGCCCATTTCACTACTTTTTCTTTGGCTGCGTTAAATAGAGTGAAGAGGTGATGAACAGAGTCATATATGGGCAAGGAATGCAGCACAACATGTCACTGATCATAAACACTGTGTCAGATTAACGGCCAAAGCCTACATGCAGGATGGCCATCTTTACACCACATTGCCAGACATGGAAGCACAAAAATATTGAACCGCATCCAACCAGCCTCACAGCAAACGCTCGGATCTCTTTTAAGATAAAGTTCACACAGCTGCAGAATTTTATCTTTACGGGTCAAAATGCTGCAGTAAATACAGCACGAATGCTTGAATGCAATATTATTCCTTTTTAACTGCACAGCATTAAGAATGGGACTTTCTACAGTTTAAGTAGCTGAAACACCGGGCAAAGCCAGGATGGCACAAGAGGAGAGTGCTTTTAAAAGTTCAGGGAATCAACCCCACTTTTTGTGAATGTATCAGGAAATGAGCCACCACTTTCTGAGCACTTCATGAAGGACATTTACACTGTCTCTGTTGAATAAACTTGTGTTTTCTAATAATAAAAAAGACACTTATAATATAACAAGGATGAATTTTCCTCCAGAAAAAGCTCCATCTAAAGAAATGTCCTATAATTCTCTTCAGTCCTATTTGAATTCATCCATTTTAGACATTATGTCAATGCAGCAATGAAACCCTTAACTCAAATATAATTACAGCGTGTGTCAAATTACAGCTGAAGCGTGGCATATGCTGCCGTCTTTGAGGGAACAGTCGCCACCTTCATTACACCTGCATTCGCCTACGTCAGTCCCAAGAGAAGATTGCTGATCGAACCCGAGATGCTCTGAGCCCAGCAAAATGAAGCCTCTGAGCCAACGTGGCTGCCATGGTTCAATGCAAGCTAAATCGCTTCCAGTCTCTAAATTAACAAAGCGCGTTACAGTGAAGTCTCCTTGTGGGTGCTCACTAAGTGGTGCTGCGGGACTCTGCTGAGCGATGTCTTCCTAAAACAATAAAAAAGGGGCATTATTGTGATTAGTCTGCCTGTAAACCTCGTCTCCTACAGTCGGTGATTGTGTGTGTCTGTGTGTGCGTGTGCTGATTAGTATTACTAACAGTCTTTGAACCTGAATCACACTGGAGTATTTAATCACATCTCATTTAAGTGGCCGTTTGGCCTCAGTTGTTGAACAGACTTGCAATGTACATTAATCTAGAAGACAGGATTCATCTGTCAGGCACGAGCACACCCCACACACAAAGACAGATGCTCTATCTGCTGGCTGATCTTGAGTGGGTGAACCCTCTTTCTTTCCTCCTCTCTTGTCTTACTCCCTGCTTAACTTTAACTTGGCCTGTCCCACACAAACAAAGGATTATCTTCATTTCCCTCCCCAATTGAAAGGGTGACAATGGAATGGTTTTTCATGACAAACTTGTGATTAGTCTTCATAAAAGTCAAACCCCAAGCACTGGAAGGTCATGAGGTATGCTAATAAAAGGACGTATAAATCCAACTGCTGGAGCCCTGGTGTCAAAAAGCTCCTCTGCGAGGCAACTGTAGTTTAGCTGACATGATAAACACGATGCTCAGACAAACAACCGCGCAGCCTTGAATAAAGATCTCCCACAGCTCAACTATAGTTTTGGTATTGTGAGAAAAATGCGAGGTTCTGCAGAACAGCTGAACTGACATTTTATTTATAAGGGGTGAAATTCTCAGCTCAGCTACAACATGTGATTCCAATTGAAGCTTCATGGTCCCTGGGACATATTGAGACATTTGAATCTACAGACGTGGGAGATGGATGGCTAAAGTACATGACTGTGTGATGTGAAGGGTGTGTGTGTTGGGGGGAGACAATATGGAAAGAAAAAGTGAAAGAAGAAGAAGAGGTGATGAAGACATCTTCGAGGTGGAGCTGCTGCTCAGAGCGCTTTACAAAGCCACGCGGTACACTGTCAGGTCAGGCAGATTTCTGGGAGACAAAAGGGTTAAGATGGGGTTAAAAGTGAGCATGAAACTGGGTACGTTCACACGTAGGCACATCAAAGAGTGAGGTTTTGATGTGAAGAGATACCGTGGAGTTGGAGAGAAGGGATGTGTCAATGTGGAAAAAACAAACAATAAAAAAGATGGCAAGAGATGAAGGTAGCAGGAGAAAGGGAGTACGTGTTTGACAAGACTGAGTGCCACCTGTGTTGCATGAGAGAGAGTAGAGAGGGAAGAAAAGAAGGGGAGAGGAGAGGAGGAAGGGAAGAAAGGAGCAAAGGTAAAGATTTAGGAGTCCCAGCATACCCTAAATCAGCTCAGCGCACTGCATGTTGTTATTCCTAGGTGTCACGGTTGAGGGATATGTGTTTATAATTTGTGTTATGACTTACTTGAAATTATGAGCGTGGAGAGTCAGCCGGACAGAAACAGATGCGTCTGTGCGATGCCCAAGGGAACCGTCAATACTGTCTACCCCTAAGCGCAGTGTGTGCATGTGCTGCATATTCATGTGTGCATGTATTTGCCTGTCCATAAATGCATTTGTGCTTTCATCTCCATGTGTGCATGTATGATGTATTTTGTTTGCAGGAACACGGGGAGTCCTCTAATATCTGCTCCCAAACCATCTATTATGACGTCTTCCCGTTTGTGATCATGCCTTTCCACCACTTAGCTGTCCGGCTCTGCAGAAACATTCCTGGGGCACTTTATGGTGGTTTCTTGATTGTGGGTGTGTAAAGGTGCAGTGCAAGTCTGGGGGCCCCTGTCTAGGCAGTTCTAGAAGCCTGTGGTGAGAGCAAGCAGAGGACATGAGAATGGGGCATGGTTGAGTGACACTATTATTTATGGTCTTGGAGTCATGTGTTATTTACAGCTAAGAAGGTAGGGAAAAGTCTATGTCCAACATAAAACACACGCTCAACCTACATTTGGTGAGCTTTCTGCAAAGCCAGTTGAGAGGATAAAGCCGTGTCTTAACTTTAAATGTGGGTAAAATTTATTTTTATGAGGTCCTAGTTTTGGCTGCCTTGGTTTGGATTAGCTCCATGCTAACCTGTAGCAGCTAACCTGCAGCCACATGCAAGATCCACATATTATCCGCTTCCTTTTGTATGCTCGGCCGGATTTAAGCCTTTATTTATCTTAATCTACAAGGTAGGATTTATCCAAACCCACCACAAATAAAACTTGCATGACTGCCTTGTTTGTTCCTTTGGAGCAGTTGCTTTATGTATATAGGTCATTACATGTAAATTGTGAGCTTCAAATTTCACATGCTAACCTTGAGCTGCGCTTCCCAAGAAAAAAACATGACAGCAGATGGTTCTCCCAGAACTAGACCAGGTTATGTGTGTTTTCACTTCACTAATAAAATATACAACGCACTTACTCTG